CCCCTTCCCCCCCTTTCCCTCCCACCAGCATTCCCTCTGCCCTAYCTAGAGTTCATCTAATCCTCCCATGTTCTCCCTCCCTACCCCACTATGAGTCACCCCTCTTATATCAGAGAAAACATTCAGCATTTGTTTTGGGGGGATTGGCTAACTCCAAATATAAGTCCCTTTCACACAGACCTTTCATGCTTCTCCTTGTGGGCTTCTTCCCCAAGAAAATCCATGTGTCCTTAGTGCTCCATCTTAAAATTAACCAGTTTCCATTTATCCTGGGTCCCCTTCAACTACGTCACCTCTATCTATTCCTTTATAGCCAAGCTTTCAAAAACAACAATAACAACAAAAAACAAAACAACACCCCATCCCCCAAAACAACAACAACAACAACAACAACAACAAAAAACCCCAGGACCATACATCTTTTTCAAAGTATGTTTTCTTCACATATGGCCATATAAAGCCACACAAAGAGATATCCATGATCAAAACCAACTCTGCATATTAATGCATAAATTTGACCCAACACTCACATTGGACAAAATGTTAGACTACTCATCTGAAGTTGTTTTTATTTATTTATTTAGGGGTGCCTGGGTTAAAACCCAGTGCCTTRCACATGCTAGGCAAGTACTCTACCATGGAACTATATCCCCAGTATAGAAGTTYTATTTTTAGATACACACATATCAACATTTKCATGATGTGATRGAAAATTCACACACTTTGAAATGTGATATACTTGAGTTCAATCTTACTTCATTACTGTTGTTATTAGAATCTATAAGCTAAGTGACTTATTGATAAAAAGTTATTGGAAGTCTCTGATCCTCAGTTATCTTGCATGGATAGCAGGCCTTGCCTAGGTAGCAGGGCCGACTTTGCATACATATTGCTGTGAGAAGGAAATGAGATGATGGTAGTAAAATGTCTTGCACACTACAAGGTTTCCAGTAGGAATTCAAATACAGCCCACACATAGTGACCAATTACCATTTCTTGATAATCAAATATTGTAGAACTTCACTTCAGACATATTAATGGTTAATATTTAACACAACAGTCTTCACAAATCTAGACTTTCCTTGAATTTGGTTAATTGGAATATCAACCACCACACAACCCTAAGACTGGGGCAAGAAATAGCCCCAGTCCTACTTTTGGAACATCTTCCTAATGGCAATGTTCTGAAAARTCAACTGGTTTTCATCATGAGTTAGAAGCCCAGAAATGCTGAAATAGAAAACTATAAGACTGATATTTAAAAAAAAATCTATTTGAAGACATTAGAGAGTTACCAAGGAAGTGAAGGCTTCATCAACCTAGATCTAGGAAGGAAAACCCAGCAGAGCAAAGCTGCCATTGCTTGCCTCTGCTTTCCCTCTGAAGGCATGAACCCATTCTAAAGCAGCAGCTGAGAGCTGAGAAGATGGAAAAGCTTCTGGCCATCTCACAGAACTGAGGGGAYGGAAGGTAGGATCTGAGTTTTGCCATGGAAGAAGAACCCCAGTAAAATCCCCTGGCTTAAAGTTGAGACCCTTAAAGAGCAGAGCCCTATGAATAAGAATTGACATGAAATAGAGGAGCCCTTAGGAAGCCCAGCTTTGAATCAGCCCAATACCTGATTGCATCAGAGTGATCTCTTTTGTACCTTAAGTGCTGGTCAGAATAAAAGAAAACCTGTTCTTGTGGAAGGAAACAGCATTCAAAGCTTCAAATTCTAAAACCTTTCATATATAATATTTGGCATTGGCAAGCAAAAGTATAAGAAGAAAGCAGAAAAGGCAAGAAAAGAAATTTACAAGGTGTTTGGATAATGGAGTTACCAGACAAGAATCAGAAAAAAATGCTTTTGGTTTAATCAGAACACAAAGGATATTGCTAAATTAATTGTGGTAACTATGATAATTTTCTGGAAAAAAAAACTTGAAAATTTACATCTTAAAGSAAACACCTTCTCCACCTAAAAGGTTCAATGAAAATGATGTTGGGGTTTTAAGAATTACGATCAGATTGGGAAGGATTGAACAATAACTTTGGGTACTTTCTTTTTCAACTGATGGCATAATACACTTATATAGATAAATAGATTTTAATCTTTTTCTTGAACATCAAAGCATTGCTTTTATTCCAAAATCCATCATAATTTATCCTATGTAACTCATTATTTAATTTCTATATGAAATAGCATATTCCACCTGGAGTATGACTATGTTTAATTTTTTACATACATGAATCATAGAATAGATTTTCTGCTAATAAAATACAACTAGTTTGACTATAATGAACTAACATAATTGTCTCTTCCTCAATTGCTCCATTAGTTCATTCATTAGGTGCTATTAGAGTCATCATTAGACAAGGAATGAATTCTCATTATCACAACTAAATAAATTTGAGTTTGACTTAAGTACAGGAAGAGGTCATATTATGATTTCTTTACTTTCAAAGGAAAAAAAACCCTCAATAGATTATATTAAAAAGCAGGATATATTTTCAGTGTGATGTAATTTAAAGATAATTGTAGAAATAAGTAACTTAATGCAGATGCCAAATTCATCTCAGCTATGTCAATGATGTGGACAATGTTTAGGGGAAAAAGTCTATCTTCCAAAACCACTAACAGCTTGGGAGTGGTTGAGTGCTTTACTGGCTATCTGCCATCTTTTGGGATGTYTTCTGTTAAATATGAATATTTTATCCATTTACTTCTGCAAATGAAATTTATCAATAGCACTTAGGTTTTTATTTTTTCCTAKAACTGAATTAAATTCTACTCCAAATTCTTTCATGGAAGAAAGCTTGGGACACAGTGATACATAGAGACTTTTGACTCCAAATTACTTCAAATAAACAGAGGCAGGAAGGTAAATAGTGCTATTAGTAGATGAGAGCTTCAGTATGTCATTCCTAACTGCAATTATTTACTATTAAAGAGTGTAAAATTTCTCTCCAATAAACCATAATTAGCAGAGAAATATGCAAGGTCTGCTCAGAGAAAACTCATGGCTCCAAAGCCAGTGGGATCTGCCTATAAACTAACTCTACTAATRTACCTAAATAATATGTGCACGGAAAAGAGTCAGCAAAAGGGGGTATGAAAAATGAAGTCTTAATAGGCAAATTTTGGCAATAGCCAAATAGGCTAGTTCAGAGGAGCACATGGGAACTTGATAGTTTTAGAATAAGATTATATATTCTTAAAGTGTGTTCAAGTTGTTAAGTTCTCTTCACAACATAGAACAGCTTTAAATTTGTCCCGAGGTTCAGAGAAGTTAAGTAAATTACTCTCAGTTAGTTATTCACCCTTGAGTGGTACAGTCTGGATTCATAACTGTGAATCTAACAAACAAATAACCAACACCGGAAGGCTACCCATGCCCACTTTCTGTAGTGGACTCACTATTGAAAATATGAAAAGAGTAAAAATATGAAAATATGAAAAGAGTAAAAATTTTTTAAAAATCCACCTGTTCTAAGGAAACTTCAACATACATACAAACAAAATTAGATTTCTGTTAAAGATACATATGTAGTTACAATCCAGGTGGCCCATTTTGTTCCTTCCCACCTAAAGATTCAAATCCTTACTGGGTAAGGTTCAAAATAAAAGACAGAACAGTTTAAAAGACCATCCAAACACTTTGGGACACTTTTGAAGAGGCAGCAAATTCAACTGGGTGGAGTAAGGATGGGAAGGAGGTATCTCAGTTCATTTCAGCTGCTATAACCAAATGTCATTAACTGGGTGATGATAAACCACCATGGTTTCTTTCTCACAGTTTTGGAGGTTGGGAAGTCCATGCTGAAGGAATCAGCAGATTCAGGGTCTGAGCAAGTGCTGGCTTCCTCACTGAGCCTTTTCACTAAGTCCCACACACAGAGAAAGGGGGAGGTATCACTCTTGAGCCTCTTGTATAGGGCACTAATCCAATTCATCAAGGCACTGGCCTAGTCACCTCACAAACCCTCACCTTGGTGGTGAGGGTTTCAATATGTGACTTTGGGGCAACACAAACATTAAGGCCATAGTAGGAGGGAGAGGGGTTTCTCTCTCTACACAATCAAAACTAATCCCCTTTAGATATCGTTCTCCTCAGAGTCCACTCATTATAGCAGTTACTTAGTCATTCACTCAGCAAATATTTATGGAGCATTTACCATGACTCAGGCACCCAGTCTCTCCTTTGTCTTCCCCTTAAACCATAGCCCAATTCTCCCTCACTGCAGGCACACTCCACCAGTGAAAGCTTCTTACCATTTCTAGTGTGTAACCTACTTAGTCTCTTTACCTTCTTCCAATTCCATCTTGAACATAGCAGAAGACTCCCAAGAGCCCAACACTGCAAACAGGGAATTTTCCTGAGTGATGGGGAAGGTGGAAAAACTATAGAAACATAAAGCTTGTCTGCCTGTCTGTTCTGCCAGATTGAAAAGCATCCTTCCCTCCTGCATTCTCAAACCATTCCTTTGAGAGATGAACTATGAGCAGACAACTGAAATTGGCAATAACTTCCAAAAAGAGAAAATGTTTTACCCTGAAACATGGAACTCTTTACAGAAAAGTAGATTTAAAAATAATCATTGGAAAAGTATTGGTTTCTATAAGTTTGGGGRTTATTATAAAGAACACTATTAGAGTATAGGTTTAAATTCTTATGGTTTTCTGCAAATGTTTTTTCAAATTATTTTCATAAATATTACTATTTAAATTAATATGATTTTCAAAATTCTATTTTTATTGTGTTATGTTTGCAAAGTTAAAAAGATGTTATAGTGGTTCTCTATTTATTTATTCCAAATTTTCATTTACCTCTATCTGATTAACTACTATCCACCTTTTTTCAACATCCTTCTTAATATTTATTTCAGGGAAATTTATCCAGTAGAATGCTCTTTTATTATGCTCTTTTATTTATTCAATTTCAGGAGAATTTCCCTTAGATTATATTTTGGGGCCAAAAGCAAGCATTCCTGTGGTTAGATATCTAGGTCTACCTTACCTGTCAAATAGTTCTCCTCCTGTGACGAGTTCTAGGACCAGACTGATTTCTGCAGGAGTTTCAAATATTTCTTTAAGTTTTATCTGGGGAAAGATATACACATATGTCAATGATTTCACAAGTTCTTTATTTTAATCTTCCTTGAAACTATCTAAGATTATGGCTAAAATAACATTCTCTCCAATAAGTAGTATTGGATCATTGTTAGTAAAAGTCCCTCTTTCTAGTATCAGGTAGATATTTGTCACTCTCCTTTTGGGTTGTTGATTTTGTCAGTTACATCATCTTTTTCAAAGGTTCCATTAAGTTTTGACACTTWTCATTTTGGCAGTTGAAGAATAACTGCCTAAATTTTGCTAAAATATTCCAACTTCTGAATATCATTAGAATCAAAAATAAAACCCAATTTCCTATATCGGTTGGATAACATCATGGTTGCTGGAGATGTAAAATGCTTCTTTCTCTTGGAAAGAAAGGACTCTGAATTAGGGGCCTGAGTCAGCATAGAACCCATTAAAGCCTGTATGTGAATAATATCCTCAACAGCTTAACAGTTGCTAGTGGGCAAAGGAGGTCCTTAAGAATGAGTGGTGGGCCAGGCGCGGTGGCGCACACCYATAATCCTAGCAGCTCGGGAGGCTGAGATAAGAGAATCGCAAGTTCARAGCCAGCCTCAGCCATGGCCAGGCGAGGTGCTAAGCAACTCAGTGAGACTCTGTCTCTAAATAAAATACAAAATAGTGTTGGGGATGTGGCCCAGTGGTCAAGTGTCCCTGACTTCAATACCCAGTACAAAAAAAAAAAAAAAGAATGAGTGGTGGTAAAGATTTCATGGACCACACCAGTATTTTCGTTACATTCAGATAATCCAAACTGCTTTTTATGTTTTTCTACATACATCTGAGAATCTAGTGTCCATTACTGATCCACATTTGAAGAAAATTCCACATTGGCCTCTCTTTGAAGAGAAAAGAGAAACTATAAAAGTAGTGATTGGGTATGGCAGATTTTTATATTGCTTTCCCAAAGCCCTTTTCCCCCTACTTTATTGCAAACAGAACCCTGATTTTGTTCAGGAAAGCAGGATGCCTAGGCTTCCTTGAATAAGATCATGATTTTGTTCTGTTTTGTGGATCACAACTGGTCTAAATGATTTGTGACAATCCCATTGTCCAGTCTAAWAGCATCCATGATTTTGTGACAGCTTTAGCCAAGAAAATTTGAAAAGAATTCTGCTATAGCAGTTCCTGAGAAAACTTTTCTCATCTGACTCAGCTGGTGAGACCTTCTCCCTTGAATACAAACCTGAGGACTTGTGAAAACGGTGCAGCCATCAATTTGGGACCATGAAGGGAAAGCATGAAGGTGAAAGTCAATGCACAGAGGAGGGTAAGACCAAGCATGGGTGGCATCTGGGTCCTGGATGGTGTCAGTGAGGTGAATCAATGCTGAAAACTTTCTTACTTCTGATTATTTGTTTTAATTGTTTTTGATTTTTAGTTGTAGATGGACACAATACCTTTATTTAATTAATTTCTTTTTATGTGGTGCTGAGGATTGAACCCAGTGCCTCACATGTTAGGCAAGTGCTCTACCACTGAGCTACAACGCCAGCCCCTGACTTCTGATTCTTATGAGGAAAGCATTTGCTGATTTGTGGCTAAATGCATTCCTAACTCGGACATTAAGTTGTAAGCACTTTGCTTTGAGCCTCAGTATTGCAGTTCATCCCCTCAGAGAGCTCAAATTTCTCAGAGAAGTGGGTAAAATACATTTTTTTTAAAGTAGATGGCTTAATTCATAAAAACAAGTTATGGCCTAGAAAGTGATTTTGTTCTTTTTCACTTCATTGGTTCAAGAAAGCTTTTCACTAGGCATTTCTCTCAGAGGGTTTGTCTGGACATAGATGGAAGCAGAGATTCTGAGGACATTTTATTTTCCCCATTCAAGTACATCATCTATTTGCATCTTCACATTGTTTCTGAAGCAGATACCCTCTCAAAGGAGACAGAAAGGACTCTTGAAAGCAATGCACTTCATCACTGGCCCTGTGGGCAATGGCATATCAATAAGATAGGCACACAAGACTGAGAAAGCCAGTGTTTTATGAGAGTGAAATAAAACTTCCCAAATTCTATGCTTGTATGCATGGAAATAAAGGTTGTGTATATTACTTTGGAAATGAATGAATGCATTTGCAGGGTTGATTCAGACCAAAAATGGAAAATGTGATGAGACAAGGACAAGAGCTAGACCCAGTGTCCCCCAGGGGTGGAAGAAGCCCTTTCTCATTATTAACATGGACAGTGAAAAACAACAATCCCTTTCTGTAGCTTGAAAGTATTGGAAATAATAGGTTAAAAACCACTTACAATGTTTGGATGTGAGAGGCGAAGAAGAACTCCTATCTCAGTTCTTACGATTTTTTTGTCCACCTAAAAGGCAAAATAAAAAGAGATAAACTGAAAGAAAGTCCCACCTTATAAAAATCTTCATTGTAACCGAGATCAGAAACAGCATTAACCCCCTGGGTGAATCAGACAAGGGGAGAAATTAAGCCCTAGGGATTTTGCTTATGTCTCTTTCCTCCCTTTCTTTTTCAGCTGCATGTCCCACCTTTCTGCTTCAGAAGTAAATTAGAGCTGGTGACTAACAGGGACCACAACTTGTCAGACCTCTTTCTTGTCATCTTCCTGCCTTTCTTGTTAAAAGTTGTCATCATCACTATTACCGTATGGCACAAGTTCCTCTCAACCTATCCCTCCTCCTTCTCTTCCTTTTTCATTCATAGATGTTTCTGGCTCAGACCTAAAGGAACTGTCAATCACTTCTGCGTTCCTCATATAAAGGTGGCACATATTCACACCTAGCCAACCAGAAACTCCGTTCCCTTGCCATGTGGTGATGGCATCAAAGACATTCAGCTGGCCCAAGTCATTCCAGAAGGTCCTATCCAGAAATTGTGCTTAAATAATCAAGAATGAGGTATTCTCTTTCTCTCTGAAATGATGAGACCCAAGAGGATGGACTGAGCATCTATCATGACCATTTTTTACATCATATGGAGTTCACTGCATTGAACATGAAGCCGACAAGGAAAAAAGAAAGTTTGATGAGATGTGAAGAAAGAGTACTTTTCATATAATGTAATTCCTAGTGTTCATTTATAGTTTGTCCTTTGAACTTTCTAATTATATGAGCCACTAAATTTCCTTTTTTATGATTTTCAGTTTCTATTGCTGGTCATTAAAGAACCCTAGATGGTTTACCATTTGATCTCAATGTTGGGGATAATGACCATTTAATTTAAGATATTCAAAATTAGGAATGTTTTCCCCTCTCTAGGTCCATGATTAACTTTTCTCCATCACAATGAGTATTTTGGTTCTCTAAAAGTCATATGCAGGCAGAAGGGTTGAGCATACTCTTCTCCCAGCAAAAATCCTAAATATACAAATACACACACATACACACACATTTACACATATCCTATACCCTTACTGTGGTTTCTGCAATATGAGCTGTCCATATTGGATTGGCAGAGATCACATGGTTTAGAAATGAGTGTGAAGAAATTTATGTGCAATGTTAGCCAAACTGTGGGTATATCCAACAGCCTACTGAAGAATGGGTTCTACCCATTAAGTTACTTCTGAGGAAGAAATGGTGGGCTTGAATAGAAACCCAATCCCATTTCAGTGGTAACAATTAATCACAACTTTCAAGAGGACGAACAACACCTATTAATTCAATTTTGTTCTCTAATGAAAATATTAACACAAATGGACACATTATTTGAAAATAAATAAAAATATTCAAAGGAGTATTATAAGTTTCATGTGTTTTTTCCTCAGTTGACAGTCTTGGTAAAGCCTCTTAAACTATTTAAAAAAGTCTTGATCATTAATGTGATCATTTAGGAAACTCAGGGTATTCTTTTTGGGGGGATACCAGGGATTGCATTCAGGAGTACTTGGCCACTAAGCCACATCCCCAGCTCTATATTTTGTATTTTATTTAGAGACAGGGTCTCACTGAGTTGCTTAATGCCTCACTTTTGCTGAGTCTGGCATTGAACTTTTGATTCTCCTGCCTCAGCCTCTGGAGCCGCTGGAATTATAAATGTGCACCACCATACCAGGCAAGCTCTGGGTATTCTAACATGTTCGTGCCTGAGAAAATTAGACTAAAAGTAAATTTATAATTTATTTGTAAACAAAACAAAATGTATTCTACTTATGTAAAATGGATGCCAGTCTGTGCAATCTAACATACTTCTTAAAATGTGCATGAACAACCCATATAAAAATGCAGCATCAGATATAAATTCTGACTGAAAAGAGGGGAGGAAGATATGATCTGTCCATTTTAATACTTGACAGCTAATCTAGACAGTTACATGTGAGGACAGATTCACTATGAGTAGAGAAAAACAAGCTGGTAAGAAATAACCTAACTCAAATGACTGTACCTCACATTGACATGTTCTGGGCTTTCATAATGAAGAAATACAGGAAGACACATATTTTGATACATCCAGTACTCTGAGACTCAAAAACTTTGGAAGCTGTTTCACCAGTCTTCCCCAGATACTAAAGTGTAGCTACTTTTCTGGACAGCTCATACTATAGGATTCAGACAGACTATGCATTGATTAAAAATTTTTCAATGGCAAGTAACTAATACTTAAGTTTGAATTTGCTTAAGCTAAAAGGTGACTTATTGGGACACTCATATACAATTATCTAAAGATATAAAAAGGTACGGTTAAATCCAGAGGTTCTGGTTTGGTGTATCTCTTCTTGCCACCCACCCTATATTGGTGTCTTGTGTATCTTCCTCTTTTTTTCTAAATCGTAGGAAACGTGACCACAGAAGTTCCAAGTCTATATTCTTCAGTCTCATATTAAAGGGAAGAGAGGCCTCTCTTTCTACATCTGTATGCTAATGTCAAGTAGTATTCTCATTGGCCTTGCTTGTTTTCTATGCCTACTCCTAGGAAATGTGTAACTATGAGAAGACTGAGCATGGGTCATGGGCTCTCCCCTTTGAGCAGAATGGAGAGGGATGGGGAGGGTTGATTCTCAGGAAAAATGGATGTTGGCAAGCAATGAATGCTCCCTTATTGATTGCTTTCAATATTTGCTCCCTCTCTTTTACATTTGCAGAAAATCCTGAAGTATTACCTAYTCTTCTTCCATTTCCCAGATTAATAAATAAATTATTAATACTTAAGTTATAATAAGCACTAATATCAGTAGAGTTAATATTCCATTGTTTGACCATTTAGCAGTAATCCACATGGGGTTACAAAAGTGATCTAGGATTTTGTTCCCAGAAACATTTTTTAATCCATACTGAAAAAACTGATTTAAGGCAATTGCATAGCTGCTGAATGAACCTAGCAGATTATGGAGCATTTGTACCTGGAGTCCAATGGGTTATTCTCTACTTCTGGGCAGTAACTTTGTCAACTATTTTGATGTTACTGGTGATATAAATTGGAGGAAACTAAAGCAATCTAGAAAAATGATGACTCTAGCCAATGTGAAAGGTTGGAGCTGAAATTTGGATGAAGCAGTTCCTGAAGCTGTATGCTTTGGGGAACAGAAGACAATCCACAGTTTTTGTCATATTCTCAAAACTTGAAACAGAAAAAAAAAGTGACCTATTTAAAAACAGGAAAATAGGGCTGGGGATATAGTTCAGTTGATAGGTGCTCACCTCACATGCACAAGACCCTGGGTTTGGTCCCCAGCACCACAAAAACAAACAAACAAGAAAAAACAAAAATAAAAAGACTAGAAAATGTGGTCCATGTAACTGGAGGAGTCAAGGATCTCTGAATTCACTTTTTAAAATGTGTCTGTAAGGAACACATGGTGCATAGTAAGAGTCTCATATAGGTTTTATCTGCACCTCCATTTTATACTCTGTGGGATATATGAAAACAAACAAACCAAATAAGGTCTCTCCCACAGAAATGTTACAATCTCATTTGTGAGATAAGACTTATCTACATAATGCCATCTGAAGGTAGTGAAAGATAGTAAAGAAAGGCTAAGTTTTGCTTTAAAAGTTGCATTGTTCAGTGGAAGATCATTTTCTATGAATTGCTAATATTTAAAGGAGGTTTATTCTAAAAGACTTTGACATCACTATCCATTTTAAACCCACACTGTTGTCACTATGAAATGAAGACTGAACTGTTAAGAGCCTGCACGGGGATTGTGTGATATGTGGCCTGCTGATAGCCAATGAGTGACATCAGACAGCCCAATCCACAGGACAGCATGGTCCAGGAGGGAGCCAAATGATAGAACAAGACTGTGAAAGCTCACTGACTTTGTGAGCAAAAAAAAAATGGTGAAAAATTTCCATTGATAAATAGATGTTCCACTTGTATAAAGGAGAGATCTTTGAATAACAGAAGCATTGCCAAAAAACCCGGATCACATTAATAAATCTCTTCCAAAGAACTCTTGCCTTACTTTTTGTTTCAATTTTGGCAGATGCTGTTGAAGAAAATTCTGATACAGATTATTATTTTTGAAAAATCTTAGTGTATATTTAAAGTATACAGCATGACATTATAAGATATAGTACAAAAGTTATTAAAGCGAAGCAAATTAATACATGAATCATTTAAATAATTATCCATTTTTTGTTGTTTTTGTGGCCTTAGCAGCTAAAATTTACTTCTGTAGCATGAATCCCATATACAGTACATTTTTGCTACCTGTAATGATCATGTTGTACTTTAAATCTCCAAAATGTTTAACTCTGTGATGCAAATTATTTTTATCTAATTGTCTCTTCAGGTTGATGGTGATTTTTGGTATTAGGATCTATTTTTCTGCCTGTACATTTAGGGATTATGAAATTTAAGGTTGTCCCTCTTATTGTCATATATTTCTGAAGAATGTAAATGATAACAGAGGGAACCTTGAAATTTTTCACAAGATTTTTTTATGTTCAATAAATATTTTTCCAATACAAATATAAATTTCATTTTTATTTTAATGTTATGTAGAATATATTACATATTAGCATGCCTTTCTCTTTTAATTCTCTGAGAATTAAATTATATGAATTCCAGAAATATTCAGAATAGGTTGGATTGCAAAAAGTCTAGAATAGCAATCTTCTAGTATGATCACTTGTTTTGAATTCAGAGTTAACTTTTTTTTAAAAACTAAAATTTTGAAAAGGGTATTTACTTTCCCAGTATACTTTATACTATTGTTTCTCAACTCAAAATGTGGTCTCAGGGGCCTGGAAGGACCTTCTAGGAACTGTGAAATTCTCCCCTTTCCAATTTCGTATCTAAGTAAGTTCAGATTGTGTCATATGGTACAAACAAAACAATGAATCACAAGAAATTGAAATGCAGAAACAGCTGAAGTCAATTTGTCTTGGATTAGGCCAGATAGTA